TCCAAATTAAAAAACCATATGACAAAGTCGCCATGGCAGCCTTCACAAAAAAGTCTGTGCTCATTCAATATTATGTTTTTAGTTTTGAAGTGCACGCCAAAGAACATGCTAGAATTACTATCAAAAGCCTAGAAAAACAGGAATGCTAAGGATGTCGCTAAAGCCAAATAATCTGAGTCCTCACGCGAAGGGGAATATGAAAAGTAGAGACAATCTTAACAATTTCAGCATCAGTATTGATGGTCAACAACTACTGCTTGCGTCGCTGTTGAGTAACATGGTTTTTGTGATCACCCTTCATGCCCTATGCGCAGACACCCTGGCTATCATGCTTCCCACTTGCTTGACTTTTTAATATAATCCTCTAAAATCCTCCACATTATTCAACAAATCTTCCCAGTGGTTGCCCATTGTTCCCCACCTTTTTGTTCATTTTATCAAAAAATATTCCAATAAGATGATTTCATTTTATCGCCACAAAGTCTTAAAAATGAAAAGTCTTCCATGATTGGCGAATTAACCACCCAAAACAAGATTACTCCCGCACGCCCTCACTGCCGCGTCTGCGCGCTCTCTGCTATTGGTCCTCTCCTTGCCTCTGGTGTCTACCTCACCTCAAGCACCTACCTTGCCCACCTTGGCGCCTACCTCTTCGCCTTTTGCGCCCGCCTCACCTCAAGCTTCTTCACCTCTGGTGCCCTCGCCTTGGCATCTCTCTCCTCCTCTCCATCTATTGGAAGTGAGCCTTCCGAGTCGTCAAAAGCTTAACTTAACTATATCTCTACTCTCTCATAAGCAGCCTCAGTCTCCAATTAAATGGCTCTCTTATGAGTCACCAAAAGCTCGGTCTAACTCTACATCTGCTCTCACGCAAGTAGCCTTAGTCTTAGGCTTAATGACTCTCTCGTGAGTCACCAAAAGCTCGGCCTAATTTTGTCTCTGATTTCATGCAAGTAGCCTCAGTCTCCAGCTTAGCGACTCTCTCGCGAGTTGCCAAAAGCTCATCATATTCTTCCTCTGCTCTTATGCAAGCAACCTCAGTTTTAGCCTCTAGTTTAGCAGCTCTCTTGTGAGTCGCCAAAAGCTTGGCCTCAAGAGATACAGCTCTCTCGTGAGCCACCCTTAGTTCCTCCTCTACAACCCGTTGTGTTTGCCTCTCCCTCATCAGAGTCCTCAATACCTGTTAGTGCTGGTTGGCCCTCACAAATGTGTCTGTCTCTCCCTTATCAGAGTACCGATTTCATCCATTCATAATGAAGGTTTTCGTTTCCCACGAATGGAACATGCCAAATGAAAATTCTACTTCTTCAAAAAATTATGGTTGAAGTTCACATTAAGTGGAAAATAGGCATTTTTAGGGAAATTTGGTGCCCAAACTGTAGTAGGTCATTTGTTTCTAATAGATCTCGAAAAAATACCTATATTCAAAAATAAATTTGTCTCAAATGGATAACCGAGTGCAAAGTTATGGTTGTTCAAAATTTTGCCACTTTTTAATACTTTTCTTATACTCTACAAGCACCAATGACCACCAAGCGCCCAACTCGCAACCACTGCCAGGCGCTTAGCGCCTCACGCTCTCACGCTTTCACCCTCCCTCACTTACCCTCACGCCTTGGTCTTTGCCCGCGAGCCCGCTTGTACTCGCACCCGTGTTCCAACACCAAAACCTTCCCCACGCACCAGTGCCTACGCCCATTGCTGCACCTCCCTAATGCTAGCGCCTAGGAGCCACAACGCTCTCTGTTCCTTACCTCTTACGCCCTCTACTCCTCTCTCGCCCATACTTGGCTGCTAAAAAAATACCCATGATTTTTTATTGATGCCCTCTCCCCCAAGTTCCATTGGACTCCAGGTATGGGGGGCAAATAATGGGCCTGACCCAGACCAGGCGCAAAATAGAGATACAGATCATACCCAACTCAAATATACGGGTCAAGCCCACCATAGGATCAAGGAAACTCAGTCGAGTCAGCCTCGTCATTTTGAGAGACTCAGTCCATAATTGACATATGAGAGAATCCAAGAGGACGCAGTCATTGGAGGCACGTCGTCAGTCTCACGAGATTATCTTGCCCATTACAAGATAAGACAAGCTTCAAGGAATCAGTTACGAGGATGACGCCTCAATTATAGCTCATCAGAGCCAACTTCACTTGACTATAAATTGTAAGTCTCGCATACACATGGGGGTAACACATGACACCTTTTGAATAATAAGATTCTCCAGCCAATATAGTCATTCTCAGTGGAATAGGCCACCATGACCAAGCCACCTAATCTTTGTGTTACTTTTGTTGAGCTCTCTTTATTTCATCCTTGATTGATTTTTCATAAACCTACTTTTATGCATCATCAAATTATTTTATTTCTTTAATATTTATATAAAAAATATAAATAATTTGAATCGGATCGGATATATGTATATCCAAATTCAAATCCGTGAAATATAAAAATATTGGATTTAAATTATTGATAAAAACTATCAATTTATATCCGACTAATCGAATTTAGGTTAAAATCTGGTCTATTGAGATGCCTAATTATGATTGGAAAGTGAATTACTTCTAGAAATTGGTCCCTTCTATGTGCCCCGTCACAAACAGTGAAATGGAACATTAGTAGCCAAGTGGTCCGAACTTACTCAATTGTCATTCTTTGACAAACAAACCTCGCACTCACACATGTAATCAATATCCACTTTTAGTCATTCAAAAAAAAATTCCCCTGTGCAAGATATATATGATGAACATATTTTTTTAATATAAATCTAGCATATACATGACAGGATAATCTGAATAAAGCGACGTTTCCAGATGGTGCGTGATGACCCGGAAACCCACCAAGATGAAATTAAAAACTTAAACAGTAATTACCTACTATGAAACATTTTGAGCTAACCAATTAAGAGTTTGGGAATTGATGCAATCTAAACCCGACTTTCGTAGATAAAGTTATGAAATTTTGAAATATTTTCTAAAATAACAAAATATGATGTGAAATTCTAAAAGACGGGATTTTTCTATAAAAAAATAGAATATGTTTTTTTTTTAGTCAGGAAATATAAGATTCTATAAATAAGAAACATAATACTCTTTACAATTTGATTCACTCATCCTACTCCTCTTCTAGCTTCCATCCTAAAAATATGCATCACAGATTGAGGGAGGCAATTCTTCCCTAGTACATTAAGTTTCTCACTTCTAGTATAGGCTGCAAGCATATGGATAGCCATGTTCTGGGTCCTTCGTGTTGCCTAAAATTTCACCACTGAGAGTAATTGAGCATACCTCCATATGTCCTTTTGTAAATGCAATCCCCTTCAAAGTATCCCCATTGTTCCCATTGATAGAATCTATAAGTTGTTTTGAGTCAGATTCAACAATGACTGCACCATAGCTCTGTTCTACAGTAGTCTTGCATGCTCACTTGACTGGATAAGCCCTTGTCATTAAGGCAGAAGCTGCTACCATAGTTTTGGACTTCAAAATAGATTAGATAATTGCAAAAGCAATGAGATATAATTATTGTGTTATTTTGGATCAACTGGCTCTAGCATTATATCTGTTGAACAATCTAAAGACATACAAGAGATAAGAAAGAGAGGAAACTACAATTTTATTAATACTGCATAATTTTAATTGAATACAAGGGAATCTTTTATATTTCTTAACAATATCTACAGGTTACAATTGCAGTTGCATCTCGATTACTTAGACTATGTTGGCACGAACCAGTAAAGGTCTAAAAGTTGAAGTCCCCAACTGTTAAGAAGTGTTGGCAAAATCATAGCAATGCTTGAAGGGTGTGATATTCCCACAAACCACTAGATCCTTTCAATCAATCAAATTTGCCCTAGCTTGCTAGGGCAATTGTGCCTCCATGACTGCCTCATGATTTAGTCCAACTGCTTGTGACTGTCAGCAAAGTCAATCAATGTCGTATGCCCACAGCTACTTATTTGTTTGTGCCAACTAACAAGCCATGCTCAGTCCATAGTTTGGTCTGCAAAGAATACAAGAACATCCTTGCTAAGATTATGTTATTATGCTTTGCTTTGCCTAAATGTTCGAAATTGTGCTCATAATGTGTTACCTTCCTCAGTCATGCGTTGGGCTTTCATTGAAACGGGGTCCCACGAATGCAACTGTCCAAGCACACCTCCACCATTAACTTTGGCATGATGAAACGCCACTCAACAAGTCATTCACATACCACCATGGTGGCATGGTTGAATCAAACCGTCAAGAGTGTAATACTTATCCATCTGTAAATCACTTGGAATCCTTTATTCATTTCTTTGTTTTTCACTAAAGACGAAAAGTTGCTTTCAGCAAAGTTGTGGATAGGTTATCCTATTGCTTTCAGTGAAGTAGTAGACAGATTATCCCACTATTTAGAACCTATTTTTTTACCTAATTTCTTGGCAGATGACTGAAACATCAATGTTTTTTTGCTATTTTTCTACTTCTTTTTTGTATTGATCTGTAGCCCACTTGATCATCAAGCCATTATATCAATGAAACCATGAGCACAGGCTTGAAGTAGGATGGTGTCACACGTGGACGGCGCAGATGCATATTAATTAGAGATTAATTGCAAAGACACTAAACATGCGAGGAAAATACAAACTCACTTTAAAACTAAAATATCAAGAAAAAACATTAAGTTCCTCTAAATGCACTTTGACACGAGAAAGAGTACGGTGAGAATAATTGGAAGGCTACCCGCGCACTATAAATGTAGGGTTTGGGCCACAGAATAAATGTGACAAAAAGTACAAAAGTATCGATCATAATTGGATTGGTGACATGAACTGATCGGATATCCAACATTATCACTCTCCTCCCTACCTTACATATTCTATGTCATTCTATTACCTTTAGTTTGTTTCGTACATCTTGTTCTTTTGTCCTGAAATTTCCATGCACTTTCTTCCTTGGTCCTTATTTAAGGGCACTACCAATATTACTCCTCCAAAGAATATAGTACTACTAGCAAGAACTCCAACCATACATGAAGACTCGAAGTTCTCAAATATGGTTTATCTTTCTCCTTATCACTTTGATCACCTTCCACAAATCTCATGCCAAACAAGCACAACCCATCTCAGAAATGGTCAGTGTTGATCAATCCTTCAACACAAGTCATGATCAATGGAGAACTGACCAACCACAACCCCAAGATACACAGTTTAAATTCAGTGCTCTTATTGTGATAGCAGGAATTTTATGCATTGCGGCTGCCGCCATATCTAGTGCAGGTGGAATCGGTGGTGGCGGGTTGTTCATACCAATTCTGACTCTAGTTGCTGGTTTTGATCTCAAAACTGCCTCAAGTTTCTCAGCTTTTATGGTCACAGGAGGGTCAATTGCCAATGTTGTGTGCAATATGTTCAGCACAAGCCCAAAATTTGGAGGAAAGACACTAATCGACTATGATATAGCACTGTTATCAGAGCCATGTATGTTATTAGGAGTGAGTGTTGGAGTGATTTTCCACCTTGTATTCCCAGAGTGGCTCATCACTATTTTCTTTGCAATTTTCCTTGCCTGGTCTTCTATTAAGACATGTAAAACAGGGGTGTTATATTGGAAATTGGAATCAGAATTGGAAGGAAGAGTTGGGTGTGGGAGGTTGGAAAATGGGTTGGAGAGAGATGGAATTTTTGATGGAAGTGAAGGAGTTACAGAACCTCTTCTGAGTGGGAAAGAAATGTGCAAATTGCGGGCTTTTCCATGGATGAAGTTGGGGATGTTAGTTGTGATTTGGTTTTCTTTCCTTGGTCTTTATCTTCTTCGTGGAAATCGATACGGACAGGTATGGCTATTTTTTTTTTTTTTTTGTTCTCATCCCATTTTACCATATTCATTACAAGTCAAAGGGTTCGATTAGCGGGAAAACAAAATTTCAAGTATCGTACCACTTTTTTAGTTATCTATATTATCTTTTGATTGAAGTTTGCTTACTCTCCGAGTGGACTCTCTCTCTCACACAATCAGGTCGGGCCGTTGACTGCTCAAGGGTCTGTGTCGGGCTAGTCCGCCCAAAAAACCAAGTCTACGAACCTACCCATTGCACCCTCCCAACGGGCTTTTAGCTTGGCACTCCTCGTGCCGATCATAATGGTGTTATTTTTTTTTTAATTAATAGTATTTTTGATCCATAAAATATATATTTTTTGTCAGTTTAATTTTCACTGTATCAATTTTGTTAACTTAATATTTGAAGTATTCAATTCGTATTATTTCGATCTCTATATAAATAGATCGTTAAGTTTTTAAAGAAATGATCACGTGTTGGGCATGTGATACCGTTTAAAAAAAATGGCACATAATCACTTCTGTCAAAAAATTTGACAGAATGTCTGATTAGAAACTAAAATAACACAGATTGAATACTTTAAGAACTAAATTAATAAAATTGAATAATTAGTACTAAAGTGATAACAAAATATATTATTTAGGGGGTTAAAAGTGCTATTAACCTTTTTTTTATATCATTTTTTTATTTAGTAAAAATTAGAAGTGAGTCTCCCTAGATGTATTTGTTTGGAGATAAGTCCTGTAAGGAAACTTATAAGAGACTAAGTTTATATTTAAAATTATATATAATGACTTAAGTCCACTTTTTTTTTTATCTCAAAAATGTCCTTCTTTAAAAAGAAGTTACTCTTTTCTCTCTCTTATCTATCTATATCCATATATAGTTAGGTGTATATATATATATATATATTAACATTAAAAATAAAAAATAGTAACATTCAAATACAAAAAAAATTACTATGAATTTGAATAGAAAATTCAAATTCATGTTACTATTTTTTTTATTATGTTACTATTCATGTTAATGCTTTTGTTGAGTATGTTACTGTTCATGTTGCTATTATTTTTGAGCATGTTACTACTATTATTTTTCTAAATATTAATATTCAATGTTACTATTTTAAAAAAATATATATATTACTATTTTTTGTATTTGAATGATACTATTTTTTGCATTTAAATTTGAGAGAAATAATTATTGTAAAGTATGTTACAGTTTTTGTTAAGCATGTTACTATTTTTGTTGAACATGTTATTGTTGTTATTTTTTAAAAATATTAATATTAAATATTTCAATTTTTTTTATGTTTAAATGTTAATATTTTTTTGTGTTTAAATGTATTATTTTTTGTGTCCAAATGATAACTTTTTTTTTTGTATTTAAATATTACTATTTTTTATTTTTAATGTTACTATATATATATGTGTGTGTGTGTGCGAGAGAGAGAGAGGAAAAATTTTAATGTTAACCAAATTATTAACCTATATATGGATATAGAGAGTTATGAGAGAGAAATGATTTTAATGTTAGTCAAATTCCAAAAATTTAGGAGTTTTTAATTTTTAATTTTATTTTACTTCTAAAAGAAATGAATAGTATAGTAAAATTGACAAAAAATAGACTTCATAACAAATAAGTTTCATTGACGGACTTAAGTATAAACAAGTCCATATAGGAGGACCGACCTCCAAATTTTTCTTTTATTTATTGCATTTTAGATTTCATTGGGTCAATACGCGGGCCACAAGCCAAATCATCGGATCTAGTCAGGCAAAAAAGGGCCCACGACCATACCCCCAAAGTTAAAACATGCGGGGTCAGCCCATGGCCCTTTGTGCTGCAGTCTAAACAAATAGGTGGAAGGTTGTATGCGTGAAGACAGCCTAAAGTAAAATACAGGTCATTTCATATACAAATCTCGAAACAGACAGACACTTTTTAGAACTCATCTAAATGAAGCTCGATGTACATTTGTGTTTTATTTTTTTTTGTCAGGGTGTCCGAGTCCATTTATACGTGTTTCGATTAATTCACTTTTTAATTTTATTAAAAATAAGTCATCTATGTACAGACTAAACTATTTATAAAGAATAAATTTTTCATAGTCTGATCCCAAGGAATTTTTTGTACATTTGGACAAGTTTAATATTTGCCTGAACGGTTCATGCAATGAAATATATTTGCCATTGTTTGTCTCATTGATAACTTGCGTCTTTGTCCCAATTATTTTGGGTCGACAATATGACACACCAAAAACATAGGACGGACAGAGAAAAGAAAGAGGAGAAACCAGAATTTTCTGTAATAAACTTTCGAAATCAATTTGTAATGTACACTTGTGATTGCACATCGAACGTAAATATTTCAATTCGATTTCAGTATATGAGATGCTTCAAGATGTATGCAGAGTATAATGCTTATAGAGCCTTGTGGGTTGGGGTATTGGATTCTCTCAGCAATTCAAATTCCTCTTGCCATAATCTTCACCATATGGACCCTGTGCACAAGAGAAGGCCTTCATTGTCAACCTCCAAACCATCAGGTACTAAAAACAGAACTAGCAATGACACTACAGACTTGTTATATATCAGACAGATACATTAAAAAAAATTTCGCACCACACGACTAACTTTGGTCTTGCACCCAATTTTTTATGAAGGAAATGGAAGCCAGTAGTCCATCACACAAGTTAATTTTCCCAGTAATGGCACTACTAGCAGGGATTTTGGGCGGAGTTTTCGGAATAGGTGGTGGAATGCTTATCAGCCCTTTTCTCCTCGACGTCGGAATAGGACCTGAAGTAAGTCCTTTCTAGTCAGTCTGCATGTTTTCATGAGTTTCTTCAGCACTACGGTTAGCCATACATTTCGCATGTTTTTTGGGATTCACATTTGTGTAGCAAGAGATTGGCAAAAAAATGTAAGGTGGAGAAATTTTTAAAATTTTCATGTATTTGGTTAGCATGAAAAGAAAATTGATAGATTTTTTTCATACTTGAATTTTCTCACAAATAACAAACTTTTTTTTCTTGTAAAAAATACAAGCAAATATAAAAAAATTGTGATCTATAATTAACTTATCATTTTATCCTTATTTTTTAAAAAATATTTTATTAGTTATTAATTTTAAAAAAAATTAGTATGAAATTAATTAATTATATAATTTGACCCAAAGACCTTTGTGTTGGTGATTGTCCTAAAATTAGGTTTTGAGCCACTTTTTTAAAAAAAATTTAACTTTCAATTATAATTATTTAATTTTTTTTCTTTTTTAGACTAATTTAACATAATTAAAGGTAATTTAAAAAATTATAAAAAATGTCTTATAACTTTCTTTTGTTTCAAACAATAAAATGAAATTTTTTTTAAACTTTCCCATAAATTTTTTATTCTAACCAAATACATACCAAATACATACATGAAAATATATTTTCTAACATTTTCTTTTTTTTTCATTTCACTTTCAATCATTTTTACTTTTCATCATTTGTTTCTTCATAATCAAACGGACTCATAGTATCATCAAATGATGTAAGTTTTGGATAAGAATTTACAACGCACTAGAACACCCTTGTTGACGATCATTTACTTTGACAGTATCTAGAATTCCTCGACCAATGTGATATATGTTCAAGCCGATAAAGACTGAGAAAATTGACTTAAGAACAAATTTTATTGCAAAGCTCCATTATTGAATTAAAACCATTAAGGAAGAAGTGAGGGGAATAAGGTTGTCCAGGACCGGGCCAGGTGAATTACAGCAAAATCTTTGGCCCGGCCCATTACTGGTCCAGATCCAGCCCTAGAAAGTGTTAGTCCAGGCTGATTGGGAATCGGAGTTCCTTCACCATGACCCTTCTTATGGCCCGGCGAAAAGGCTACTAGACAGGCCAAGACCTGGGTCAGGTTCGGGCCAACCCACCCGATTTGGGATTTTTTTCCCTGCATAATGACATTATGATTAAAAGTTGTAGTTCATAAGTTCACATCTCCTCGTTGCTCATAATCTAAAATGGTGCAGGTGACAGCAGCAACATGTTCATTCATGGTGTTCTTCTCCTCTACCATGTCAGCAATTCAGTACTTGTTTTTGGGCATGGAGCATATATACAGTGCCCTAATCTTCTCTGTCATTTGCTTGGTCGCCTCGCTTATCGGATTGGTGGTGGTGCGAAAAGCCATAGAAAAACATGGAAGGGACTCTCTCATTGTGTTCTCGATTGGTACAGTGATGGTTTTGAGTACTGTTTTGATGACAAGCTTTGGAGCTCTTGATGTTTGGAGGGATTACACAAGTGGGAAATACATGGGGTTCGGCCAACCCTGTTGAAATAAATTTTGTGAGATGGGTCATGTTGGGAATTGTAAAATATATTGCGGAAGCGTATGATGAAAAACATATTTTATTCGCTTTAATCCAAAAAATCGTTTGAGGATATTCCATGTACTTTAGAATCCAAATCAACGACTTTTCTTTAATTGTTCGAACAGTATGGTGTTGTTACATAAGATGAATCAATATCAGATTAACCACAACACAAAAACCTTCAAATGTTATGTAACGAGAGAGAATAGAGTACGAGAGTTTAAACGTCTGATTAATTATCAGTTTTCTTTCATCTTATTGGATTGCCTTGAGTTTATATATATAATCAATGAGTGTCATTAAAAAACACATCTTATAGGGATATGTCTATTAATATTTAACAAACATGTATTTTTAGTGGTAAAAGATACCTCTTGATAAATAATACCTTCAAAAGACATGTCTCTTTGGACATTCTTTAATTTGGGTCAACCTACCATGGGCACCCCGGTTCAGGTCCATGACCCAACCAATATCTAACATCTCTCACTCGCACGCGGTGGGTACGACACTGTCATCTCTCTCAATCCACTATATACATCAACATCAATTCATACAGGCTAATGGGCGATGCGACCGCTGAGCACACCTGTAATTTGGGAGCTCTACAATAGAAACTCTATAGAGCTAGCATAGAGACATCAACCCTAAAAAAATGAAAAATGGTGTCTCAAGTACTCTAAATCCATTCGGATACACCGGTTCAAATATCTCTAATCCCTCACAATATAAGAGCATACATAACCCTTCGAAGCTTTCGCCTATACATTCATACTTTGTCACTATCCAAACTAGTGCTCAAAGTTGTCGACAGTGAATATATCACCGGATGTTCCAAATGGTCTTCCTTTCACCCTCATATCACTGAGTTCAAAATTAGCTGGTCTCCCAGCAATGTCCTGAAAAGCCGAATCACTCATGGCCGTAAGTAACATGCCAAAGTAGCTGAGCATTAATTTTTTCATTTTATGACATAGTCAAAAGTTAGAGAGTATATAGAATGTTTAGTTAAACAAAATAACCTAGTCATGTAAAAATGACTTGGCGGGCTCACATAGTGAGGAAGTAGAGATCTATTCTTTCACCTCCTTAATCGTCGCCAAGCACATGTAGTATGAAATACATGCTACGGTGGAGTGTCTCGATCCTAATAAGAGCGTATGTCATACTCAAACATTGTACAAATCTTAGTCTAGTCGCTATACAAGCATCTAACCCGAGTTTTCTATTTGCTCGCCTTCTAAAGACGCCAAATTAAGATCTCGCATCTGGCTAATCAACGAATACAAGCATAATGGACATGGAGTTGTGTCTATTAGCGATCATCAAATGTCAGATCTCATAATGTGCACAAAACAAAGCGATATTATATGCTAGAGTATCTCATCTTGGCTCGTCATATCAAGCGCCAAGGGCGATTGCTCGTGTGAGTGAGCCAATCATACTCCCTGACATACTTAATATGTGTGCTTTCTCAAATATCAAGGTAATCAAACAATATAACATTTAATTGCAATTAAAACCTTGTATTAATATCCCAAAAAATGTCAATATAAATGACTATGTGATCCATATAATCTCTAGCACATAATCAATACCTATGAAGTCCAAGAGTTCTAACATGAGTGATATACACATCTCTAGCTATAGGGTTAGTTAGGGGGTCTGCAACCATCTGAGTTGTAGGTATATATTTCAAGATTACTTCTTTTTGTGCAATCATGTCTTTGATTTAATGATCTTAGATCTATGTGTTTGGTTCTTTCATGATACTTTGGATCTTTAGCATAAGATAATGCAGTCATGCTATCACAATGACCGTCACTGGGCCAAAGGTATTTGTGACAACTCCTAGATGTTGAAAGATCCTTCTTAACTAAACTTCTTGTATAGCAACTAAACAAGCCATGTATTCTGCTTCCATGGTGGGTAAGGATATGCATGATTACTTTTTACTACTCCATGTAATTATCCCACCATTAAGTAAGAAAGCATATCTTGATGTAGACATGCATTCATCTATATCACCACCCCAATTAGTATCGCTATAACCAACCATCTATAAATCTGGAGACTGGTAGCATAACATATAATCTGAAGTCCCCTTGAGATATCATAGTATCCTTTTGACTACCTTCCAAAGAACTATTTCAAGATTTGACTGAAAATGACTAACTAGGCCTTTCGCATGGCAAATATCAGAATGAGTACACATCATAGCATACATTAAGCCAGCTACAACACTGGCATAGGGAACATGAGCCATCTTTTCCTTTTCCTCAAAAAACTGAGGGTACATCTTTAGGCTTAGACTCTCATCTTTCGCTACAAGAGTGTCCATAGATTTGCAGTTATGCATCTGGAATCATTCAAGAACCTTCTTAATGTAAATCCCTTGAGACAAACCAAGAAGTTTCTTAGAAAAATCCCTTAGGATCTTAATTTCGAGCACATAACTTGTTCGCCCAAGTCCTTCATCTCAAATGTTGAAGACAACTATTTTTGAGTAGTGATAATCATCTCCTTATTATTACCAGCCAATAAAATATCATCAACATACACAGATAGAATCAAGAAGTTATCTTTAGACTATTTAACATACACACAATGGTCTTCATCGATCATTGTAAACTCATTAGAAGTAATAGCTTGATGAAACCTTAGATACCAATATCTGGATGACTGCTTCAGGCCATAAATGGATCGTTGGAGTTTACACACTTTGTTCTCTTGACCCACCACCATGAAGCTCTCAAGTTGATCCATGTATATCACCTCATCCAGTTCTCCATTAAGAAATACAATTTTAACGTCCATTTGATATAGTTCTAAATCCAAATGTGTGACAATAACTAGAATTATGCAAATCGAGGCAAACCATACAACTGGATAAAAAATTTCCTTGTAGTCCACACCCTCTTTCTGGGTGTAACCTTTTGCCATTAAGCGAGCCTTATATCTTTTTATGGCTCCATTTGTCTTGCACTTAATTTTGAGAACTCATTTGTTCTCAATGGCCTTACATCTAGGCGGAAGGTCAACCAAGTCCCAGACTTGATTAGCCTTCGTTGACTACATCTTGTAATTCATTGCGGCTATCCACTCATTATTAGCAGGTTATAATAGAGTCTCTTTAATATTTTTAGGTTCGACATCATCACGTGGTGCAACCATGAAAACTTCCCCTTCAATCTCAAAACAACGTTGAGGTATGGTTGCACGCTTACTTATACGTAACTTTGTGTCGTATGGATCTACATCCATTAGAACTGATCCACCATTGAGTATATCACTTCCACTGTCGCTAGGAGGTGACGAAACTGTTTTCTCGATCTCTACTTAGTTAATGGGTATATCTCTTTGAGGATCATGTAACTTATAGAGCTCTATTCCTTTAGACACGTCTCCTCTGCTAGAAAAATCCTCTTCAAGGAAAATTGCATCATATGACTCAATTTTAGTTACCCTTCCATCAAGCAGTTCACCTATAAACACATAACCCTTAGAGTGCTCAAAATAGTGAATGAAGATACATTTTTTCCCTCTAGGACCTAACTTCCCATATTTATGAGAAGTAGATGTGATAATCTTACCCTATTACCCATTAATCTGTCAAACCCGCCCATAAATAAATAGGTTAGATACCTATATTAATTAATATAAGTTCTAAATAGATTGAGTAATATGATTCATTTTAATTAAGCGGGTTAATATGAATTACAAATATATATATTTACAAAAAAAAATTATTTCAAAGAATCAAAAAAAATTACAAAAAACAAATATTGCAAACAGTCTAACATCAAACCCTATTGGCTTTAATCCTTCAAAATGTCAAATTACCAATAGCATAACACCAATAGCCTTCCAAAATCAACAACTATACAGGAAAACATACAAAAGAAAATCAAAGAAATTTCCTTTTCTTCCTCAGAACCTTCAGGCCTTACTAGTCACGTAGCATCAATAGCTATGCCAACATAGGAACATGAAGATCCTGTGAAAAATCAGAGGATAAGGCACCCCCCCCCCCCAGCTCTGTCAGGGTTTCCTTTAGAAGCACCATCCACGTTAAGTTTTAGAATCCCAAATGAAGGAGGAAACCACCACACCCATAAAGCCGAAAACTTAACCTTTTCTTCAAACTCCACCCACAAAAGCCTGCAAAACCTCCTTACCCCTAACACTTTCAGGGAGTTGAGGTCTAAACAAGGATGAGACGTGACTAGAATTTTGATACACTTGTTTACGTATATATAATATGAATTAATAAAACATTAATAATTCCCCAAGTGCAACAATACCTACCACCCATCATCTTAGTCATTAAACATGATGACAATACCTGTTTTATAATTTGTACCATATATAACACATATACCATTTTTTTTCTATTTTGTGTACATACACATAATCCCACACCCACATAGCATACCTCCCAGAGTATGTTTGTTGAGTCTGTTTACCATTATTAACTTGTCATAATAATCTTTCACTTAATATAAAATACAACCCAACAAATAGTTATACAAACACTTAACCTGAGTGATATCACACTAATGTTATACAAAACTCAATCGACTGAACAATGAACTGGTTTGCACTTTCCCTATAGTACCTGAAAAAGAGAACTTATAAGGGGTGTGAGTTAAACCACGTGCTCAGTGAATATACATGTTTTATATGAAATGAAAAATAATAGTAATACACAAAAGTACGTAGATACACGTATCAAACAACATCATCAATCCAATTCCAAAGAATTTACAAGCCACATCATTACCATAATACCCCTCATCAGGTAATCGATCCCACATGGATCTGTGTCTCCTAAATCTCCCAGGAACAACACAGTGCTAGCACACCACTGCACGCCCAGTGATCAGACATCAATATCTTTGTCTCAAACAATGCACCACATTCCACAATACACAATACACAGTATAAAGCATTATTCAATCACATAAATACGTAGCATATAATCTTGGAGAGTTGTTATTAAATTATATCATTTACTATCATCTTATAATAACATTTTTAAAACTTATAAAGATATACACTCACCTCAAATATACAGATCTACTGCCCTTCGGTTTTATCGGTGGATCCTTTCGGTGTAACCATATTTGTTCCAACTCCAAATGTCTCACCCGTTCCACCTAACACATTTGTAATTAGAATATCAATATATTTATCACATTTAATAGTTAATCATGCATTAATGCATGCAAAAAAATTATGCACCCCAAAGTATCTCGATAACTCTGGTTACCGCACTATCCATTCGCACACTAGCATTTTTGTTATAGGGATCACATTTTCTTTCCAAATTTCTAAAATAAATCACATTAATCACAATTAGGATTAAGTAGGTCAAACACATTGATCAGGGCCTATTTTTTACACATTTCAACCCCGAATCTTAAAAACTGTACTTCCGACATTTCATACATTTGGCACCAAATATCATATCCATTTGCATTCGAAATTCACATTATCACATCACACATTATTTAAAAATTTTACATGCAAAATTTCAGGTCATTCAGATTAAAATTTACACATGTGATAATAACATTTAAAAATCAGGGTTTCGGCATTACCGGTATTCATTTCCAATTTATTTCGTACATTTCTTTAAAACAATCATACCTAAACTCCCACACTCACTAATTCATGAAAAACAACCCCCTAATTGCACACGCACACACAACTAGCCCTTTAGCCATAATAAACCCATAGTTTGACACCTATTAGGATGACTCATCCCTTTTTGGCTAATTATGTTTGCCTCCGTCCAAGTTTTTAGGTAACTTTGAAATCGACCCACTATTTTTTTCACACATGAAATTCTATAAATAGGTCTCACTGATGCATCACTAACATGGTCCACATACCAATGTATGCTCTCACACATTATGTCTATGAAAGATTTAATTTAATTAACCATTTAATAATTTCACATAATTATAATTTAGCCTACAAAATTATGCTAATATGCATGTAATGCATGATCGGGTATCACAAAAACAGAACAATAGCATGAGCAGACAAACATCCTTCGTAAAAAAACTCGCCTACTCCTCTCCTTCCAAATTAACCAGTAAACCACCAACGCCATTCCCCTCATTAAAGCATTATATAAAGAAGGTTTCTTAAAAAGTCTCCCCATCCTCACCATTCTAAGTAATGGGGTCTCACTTTCAAACAATTGGAACGCACATAGAACAGCCAGTTTAGAGCAATTATGTGGAATCATTTGCATGAATATTTCACTTGCATGAATATGCCTGTGTGATTAAACCCATTTGTCATTCAAATGTACCAAAAACAAACAAGCATTTTCAGCATAATAATTATCATGATTGAAAAAAGGAAATGAAAGAAGAATAACATGCATATATACATTTGGAATATAAAAACTAAACTTTTTCTTTGAATGAGAGGAACAGGTTTTGGGACTAACCAGAATGAGTCTTAAAATTGAAAACAACCAGAGGATAAAGATCAAAGAATGCTCTCTCCACCACCTCTCTCTCTCTCTCTCTCTCTCTCTCTCTCTCTCTATCTTTGTTTATTAAAATATTTACAAGAAGTGGAGAGATGGGTCTGTGGGGTTCGAGTGATGATGGAGAAAGATAACTATAAGAAGCAAAAATGCTTCAATAACATTGCTTCTTTTCGAGTAAATTATCTAGAAAGGCCCTTAAATATAAAGTTAGATCTATAAAAGTAAACCTTAGATATTAAATAATACAGTATAGATCTGTAAAAATAAATTATGGATCTACAAAAATAGGCCCTAAATCTGAACAACATCATCATATATCTAAACAATCAACAAGAGAAATATCAATGGTTCCATTGGAGTATAAACAATAATATAACAGAGGAGATAAAGGAGTATAGATCTACAAAAATAAAATAGGGATCTACAAAAATAAACCCTAAATCTGAAACAAAAATCATATATCTGAAAAAAAAAAAATCAAAGTGGAGATACTAGCAAAGAGAAAGAGCTTACAACTTCGCCAGAGAGATTATAGCTTCACTGGAGACACAACGGAAGCGACCAGCAACAAGTAGAGAAGACAAACTAGTGAACAGAGGAGACGACACAACGATTCCTTTGCGACGACCAGTGAGCAGACACTATGAAAAGTTACCTGTTCATGCCCTTTTATATTGTAAGGAAAAAAAATGAATCTTTCGCTGCTAAGAGGGTTTAAAGTCGAGACCTCATTAATTGGGTAAGGAGCCTTCCGCTTTGTTTTTTTTTTTGGATGTTTTCAAATTTTTCATCGTTTTTAAAACATTGCAGTAAAAAAAATGAAAACATTCACCAAACATTTTATTTTAAAAAAAAAAATAAAAAAAAAATAAAAAAACAAAACAAAGCGAAAACTTGCTACATTACCAGAGTCTATCATGTATTCGTCCATTGGCGGGCCAAACACATATTCCATGGGCTTACTTGTCTAGCCAAGTATGTGATTATATATTATATGGATTAGTGATTATTAAAATTGGTGGATTCAACTTGTCCACTCTTATAAATATTAGTGGACAATTACATCATTTAATATTGTTAAGTTTTGTAATCGTTAAATTGAATATTTTATCTTATAAATGGGACATAACTTTTGTATGGCTAAGATTGGAATTTTTATGTCTTTTGAGAATGGAAGAAAAATTTTAAGTGCATGAACTGTCTTTCAATTTATACATATTAAATTAAAACTTTTATTTTGAAGAAATTTGAACTCACAATAGATATTTATATATGATTTATTCAAACAATTTATATTTATGCTACTACCCCATTTTGTCCTCCAAAGAATTTGAACATTTAATCTAAAAAAGACAAAGCATTCGCAAAAGCAGTGCGTAAAGTCAAAAGGGCCATTGATAAATGCCCAAGTTTTAACCCTTGCACGAGCCCATCTCTGTCAAGCCAAATAGTCCATTCTTATCAACGGGTTAGGCAGTTCTCCAATTATGGAGTATCCTCCCAATTTTAATGGTGAGGATCTTTCGCAAACTTCATTAGAAACTACTCTCTCCCTCTTTGCGTACAACCCTAGCCAACAAACCCATCTCTCCCCATCCATACCTGACTGGTAGGAATGGCCCAAAAACGTAAATCCGATCATGATCCACCTCATAATTCAGTGTCTGAAGAAGAAGAGGAGGAAGGAGAAGGGTCATCTGAAGAATTAGAAGACTCTGAATCAGAATCTGAAGAAGAAAAAGAGAAACCCACCCCTTCATCACCCCCACCTCAAATTACCAAAAATCCCTCTGTTCCGAAGAAACCAGAACCCCTTTCTCAAGCCCCCGATTCTTCTTCTTCCTCCTCCGATGACTCCGAACAAGACTCTGAATCGGACACTCCATCAGAGAAGTCTCGAAATTTGGACCCCAAAATCAAACCTATTGCTTCAAAGCCGATGGATGAGGAAACCAAGCCAACTAAAAAGCCCAGATCTAAACCCAGTTTGCCACCCAGTTCACCAATTCCGCCGAAGTCCACCAAAAGGCCAGTGGAGAGCGAAGGCAAGGAATCTAAGAGAGCAAAGCAAAAAACGGACGTTGATAATGGAGATTTGGAGAGGAAGAATTCAACTGTAACACCTGGGGATGATTCGAAGAAGCAGTTGTTTCAGAGGTTGTGGAGTGAAGACGATGAGATTGTGATTTTGAAAGGTATGATTGAGTACACGGCGAAGAAAGGGACTGACCCATTTGCTGATATGAATGCATTTCATGAATTTATCAAAAAATCTTTACATGTTGAAGTAACTAAGGCCCAGTTGTCAGCTAAGGTTAGGAGGTTGAAGAAGAAGTATGAGAACAATGCCAGTAAGGAGAAGAAAGGTAAAAAACGGACTTTTTCGAATCCCCACGAGCAAAAATCGTATGAGTGGTCGAAAAAGTTTTGGGGGGGTGAGAGTGATAGTGTAGAAGTTAATAATTCTTTGAAGGTTAATGGTAGTCCAAGGAAGAATCAGAACCAAAGAGGTAGTAAGGCCTTGGTGGCTAATCCAAAAGTGGAGGAGAAAAAAGAGAATGGTGTTCTGTCGCCAGATGGGTCGAAGGATGTGGAAAAGATGGAGGTTGAGCATAATATGGCACCACCGCCATCCGTGCAGATAAGTAGAAGCATTGGGGATCAGAGTTTGGAAGAGAAGATTATAAAGGATGGATTGGAGTTGATCAAAGGGCCGAAAAGGGTAGAGTTGGAGGATAAGTGGAAGAAGCTTCATGTGGAGGATGTTGAGCTTTACTTGAAGCGTGTGGAGTTGATATGCGAGCAGACGAAGTTGGTATTGGAAGCGCTAAAGTCGGGGCAATAAGGTTCTATGCAGGTAATTTCATGGTTATTGAATTGGTGATGGCTCACGTAGAGGACAAGAATGATAGTTTATGTGTTTGTGCCTTGTGGTATTTATCATTTTAAAGGGTGTTCTGCATCTTTTACATGACTTTGGAGGTTGTATGATGTGATATTCAAATCTTTACTTCTATAGTTGGAAGATTCTCTGTCTAATATCTTGTTACATCCATGCTGCTATTTTTATATGAAGATGTAGGTTCGGTGCCATATTTCCATAATTTCCTGGAATGTAAAGCATCTGTTTTTTTCCGTTTTCTATGGGCATTGACTGCATTTTGTCCTGTTTAATTAGAGTAGTTTCATTTGTTTGTGAATCTCCGTGTATGTTGAAAACACAAAACTTTGTCCTCCACTAAGCCGAAAGACAGATCTCATCACAAAACTTGGTTTTCCTAAACTATCTATCCTTAGAAGTAAGGCAAACAAAACTGAAAGAGGAAATTCTCCGCGTGGGGGATTGGGTGAGGACAGTTGAGGGCGTGTTCAGTGAGAGTGTTAATGAGGAAAAGACAAATGACACTAAAAAGAGAGTTAGTTGCCTTCTTAATAGCCTTTCCTCAAAGGTTAACTCTAGATTGTCCCAATCTTGCATTGGCTATGGATAAGCTTGTGTGACATGTTCTGATTGGGGTCGCATTCGTGTATGTTATTGGGTGAAGCTGTAATTTTTGTAGGTAATGGAATTAGAAAAAGGGGTTTATCATTTTGAACTACTGAGATTTGATTTATGATTTGAATTATTAGTTAAGTTAGGTGGCTAAGAACATCATAGTTTTTCTAGTGATTATATGAATAAAGATGAGAAATAATTTAGGGGCTGATATCGCTAGAAAATTAGATGCAAAGTGAGGCAGAATTAAGATGAATGAGTTATTAATGCAATGGTTTTATGGAAAGATTGCATGCTTTTGTTGCTGAATGGAACGTAGGAAGTAACAAGAATGGAAGTAAAGCATTATATGCCTCACTGTCATGGTTGGTATGCATTATGTCTTGCTGTCTTGGTTGGTTGGGGAAGCATTGATGACTTGAGTTGGAAAGAGAGATTTTAGGGGATGAATCAGAGTGGGAAGGAGAAATTAAATCAACTGCAGGTGTATGGGTTGAGCTCTACTTGAAGGCACTGGACCTAATCTGTGCATGTAGGAGCTACTGGTTAATTAAGTTTTTGATCAAGGGTTTCAGGCTACTGGTAGATGGAGAAGAATTAGGTAACTGTGGTTGTATGCCTGTAGGGGCTGATTACCTATTAAGAATTGTAGTATTTTTCTGTCCCGACATTATACATCTGTTGTTATGGGAGTATTTTGTTATTCCATTGCAAAAACTACCTTTCCTCTTGTTTATTTATATTCATATTGTTTGATCACTAATGTTCCTATTGTTTGGTATTTGATGAGCACGAGAGTAGAATTGAAACTTCATTGCATATGCTTTCCTCAGTGGTTAGCAATAGGCCCTAATGTTTTGTTGTGGTTACGAATGAGTTGATTGTTATTATATATGTTGTTGGCTGATGGTGTGATTTTTAAATAGGTGTAGGCATTAATTATTTAGAAGTATGGAGAATTTTGTTAGAGAACTTTGTCCCATGGAATTGCATTAGTATGGATGAAATGGAAAACCACTGTCTGCAGTGGTGCGATACGTAATATCTACCTAGACTAATTTATTAGATGATTTGGTGAATTGTTTTGTAATATTTGCTCCCTTAAGAGGACAATGGCTAAAATGGTGGATTGAGATGAACGGTAATGCAAAGAAATAATAGAACAAGCAATTAACTGATTTTTAGAAGCTTTAGAACTGGGGAAGCACAAATACAAAATATGAAATACGAATACGATACGATACAAATACGTCATTACGACAAAACTTTAAAAAATAGGATATGGGTATTGCCGAGATATGTTTATGTATTAAAATATCTATATAATAAAATAGCTTACAATTCATATTTTAAAAGATAAACAAAATGATTTTTACTTTTCGCTATTCGGATCGCTTTAAATTTTACTTTAAAGTTAATCTAACGGCTAATATTAACATCCTAAATTTAATAGGAAAAACAGGGTTCTAAGGGTGTGTTTGAAATGACTTTTTAAAAGTACTTTTAGAAATTATTTCTCATAAGTACTTTAAAAAAAATAGTGTTTGAAACTTCTCCACCAACACCATCGCCGCCGCCGCCACCACCGTCGCTGCCACCATCGCCGCCACCACAATCATTGTCACCGACTACAACCATTACTGTCTCCTACCACCACCACTGCCGTCCACCACCTCTTACCCCCACTATAACTGATGCTTAAATTCATTTATTTCTCTTCTATGTTTGTGATTTAATTTTGGATATAAATATAAATATGTTTATTGTTTATTATTTTTTATTATTATGTGCCTTCAGGTACAGACAATAACTAATATTTTTTATTTTACCATTATTCAACAACTATAAAATTATAATTTTTAGTAATTTTTTAACAATAGTAAACAAAATTAGGAATTTTTTACCTTGAAAAAAATGTAATATCGTCTTATTATGGTACATTTATAAAGTGAACGTAACCAATTAAAGGAATTAGAATCAATATTTAACTAGTTAGTTTGTTTATAAGTATTTGTGTATAAAGTTATAGTGTAACTATCTTATTTTTTATACTCTTTTGACATGTTATAATAAATAATACTTAAAAAAACACTTGCTCCATGTTTTAGATACGTATCCTCGATGATCATATCCGATACGGTATTTGATATGCGTACGTCGATCTTGACGAAGTATCCTTACTTCATAGCCTTAGAACTATTGCTAAGTTCATCATCTATAGAAGTTGTCTAAGATGGTTTTGCCTTTGGCAAGGAATATTATAAACTGCACAGCTAAAAAGGTGATTTGACAAGATGATCGAGGAAGAATGTAGGGAATTTTTTTAAAAAAGCGGCATGATGAGACCTGGCCTTATATAGGATATGTGAAGTACTAAAAATAGTTGGGGTTACAGAAAATCTATTGGAAGAATTACAGAAGGTTTCTGCATCTGACTAATATTTAGGATGGCGTTGTGAAAATTGCTTATACCGGCTTGTTCTTTTCTTTTCCCCTTGTCTTTATCTGATTTCATGAGCAGTTGAAAAACTTACCAGATTGGCCTGGCTTCCACTTGGACATGATTTTTGGTGATGTCAATTTCTTTTCATGCAGGCTGTTATCCCCTTCATCCAGTTTGCCAAAGTTGTTCAACCTTTTTACTAAAATAATGCAGGAATTTGCCTGTGTATGAGTGTGTGTATGTGGGAACAAGAGTCTATGGTAGGTTCAAGAAATGCCTGTTGACAAAAAGACAGCCCTTAGATTGTTTAATTTGGATCTGAGGCAAACTGGTTTGTGCTTTGTGCTTTGTGCTTTGTGGTAGGGCCATGTTTATTGTTGTTTTTACATGTATACTCGTAACTAATGGGAAAGTGATACTTCTACTACCATGTCTAGTTCTCTGTCTCAGCCTTGAGCCAACATAGTATCAGCCATGAAATGAAGTTAGGCTTGCCGTACAATTCGGATAGGCGATCTCGATAGGTCAAACGGAGACGCGGTTTCCTTTTGATGTACAATGATGGAGGATAGAGATTTGAATCTAGGTTGTCAGGATGACACTGCCATTGTGCTATGGAGACAGTATTATATTAAGCCAGAAATAGGGTGTTTTTTTTCCTGTTATTTTTAAGTTTGAGATGTGGGAAGGAATGGGAACATTTTATTCTTGCTTCAAACACTCAAATGTTATAGCATTCAATGGAAAATAAGAAATCTTCTGGGGGTTGGGGGGACTGCCCATTTCATCTTTTATGAAGCTTATATGAAAGATACAAGTAAAGAATAAGGAGGAAGTAAAAATCAAGCATGGCTTTGGCTTTGAATCGGCTTCTTTTGTTCTGCTTTGGCCGCAACAACGGAAACATAGTAAGAAACTGTGAACAATGCATGAATGAAGCATAAAATCCCTCCTACAGAGAGAAGATGATGGCTTGATAGCCCACAAACTTTTCTTGACTTTGAGTTTGCTAGTGTTCCCAGGATCAGCATTAAGAATGCAATGGCCAATATAATCCTGATTCACCAACAATGATCATGTCACAATCAGAAAAATCTGTCGAAAAAATTTAACAAGTTAATGCATTAATTTGAAAACCGCGATTTTTATAATTAACCAAAAAAATTGATGGGGTGTAGATGATGGTATGTATAATGTGCAGATGAATGGGAAATAGGGTTGTTCATTTATTTGCTCATTATGCCAGTTTTGTGTACGATGTTATGGTATTGATTGAGGTTGTTGAGCTTTGAGAATGCTAAAGCTCGACAACAGTTGCAACTGGTTCAGCTGGAGTTCAAGTTGAGCTCAACTGTCAAGCTTAGATTCTTGCTCAATCCCATTTTGGCACGAGTTTGTTAGCATTCAAGCCAGTATCGAGCCAAAACCGACTTCAACTTTGTGGTAAAAACTTTCATAAATTTAAAGCCTACAACTTAATATTCAGTCCAAAAAAATAATAGAAACCGTAAGATTAAACCTCGCAAGTTTAAAATTTTCAAAAATCTACTAGAGAATAGAGGAAGATAAAAGTGAATATGATTTAGACCGAGACAAGTCTACTCGAACTGTTGCTTAGACTCTGTCATTCTAGAAATCTAATTATATTTTATTCATTTCTCAATTTGAAAGAGTTTAAAGGAGCCAAAATCAAGGTAATCCTAGGCCAATTTTGAATTGTTCGATTTGTTTAACAACCCTAACGATAAAATTACCGCAATTTCATCACAAAAAATGTGCAAACAAGTACCATGAGAAAATGAGGGAAGCAACTGCTAATTGCTTGTTAGCTGTGGCCCTGAATAGCTCTTCTTTGGACCAAATGCAAATGCACCCACCAAGCAAATTAGCAATCACGTGTGCTAGAGCCAAAAGTATTGCTGCAGCCAAACCCATCTTGAAAGCTTTATGGCTTGGTTCTCTACATTCGAAAATCCCACGTTTAAATGCCTCACCTGTCCAAAGTACAAAGATAAAAATTAAAACCATAAACACATAGCTGACCCGGTTTGATTTGCGTTTCAAAAAATAATATACAAAAATTATTTATGGGAAGAATTTTAGAAAAGTGTGTTTTTTGTGTCGCAGAACTTGATTGGTTAAATGATTTCAAAAATAATTATACAAAATAGAAAATAGTAAAACTTGTTTGGATAGTAACCTAAAAAACAATGAAAACAAGAATGTGGTAGTAATGGTGGTGGCGATGGTGGTGGCGTTTTCTAAATTCTAAAAATGTTATTTCAAAAAACATATTAAACAGTTCTAACTTGTTCTTTAAATCTATCAATGTCAAACAACTTTTTTCCCAGAAACTGTTTTCTAAAACAAAAATATAGTTTCAGATATGCAAACTAAACATGACCCAAATTTCTTGATTTTTTTTAACGGTTTTTGAAATAAATAGCAGGATCTGTATACCTTGCTTTGAGCTTTCTCAGCTTGAATGCCAAGTATACCAGCAGTGATGTCCATGGACATGATCAAGAGACATATAAGGAAGCCTATGTTTTTTGCCATTTCTGCAAACACAGAGCTCTCTAGGTTTGATGAAGAAGAAGACAGGAGAGAGACCCTATAGACCTTACTTCAACATAACTTATGTATGGAATTTCACCCTTTACAAGTAAGGCTCTTTAGGTTCTACATGAAGATGAGAATCTGAATAAAGTTTGAGAGTGCATGTGGAGCAATATCATTTATTAGAATTATTAGTTCTGCTAATGAAAGAAATTGTCTTTACATTTTCCTTATGAATGATATTTTGACCCTATCAACTGTGTCACTGTCTCACATTGCATCATCAACCGTTATGTTTTTCATATTGCGCCTCCAACAACTCTAGCGATGGTTATTGGTTTCAAATTTATGTCACTTTGCACCTCAAACAATGTAAATTTATGTCATTTTTCCCTAAAATCAACTGATATTGCTAAAGTCTGTCCAAACCATACAAGATGTTTTGTTTAGGATAATGTGAAATCAACTCAAGTACTTTTAAGGTTCAATGTGAGAAACTAGATAATTTAAAGAGTAAAATCAGATCGAAACTATAGTTAAGGGTATAAACCATATTGTCTTTTACTTTATTCTACTTTGGTTTCTGCCTTGCTTTGCTGGTGTAGATTCTTTACATGGGGGAGAAGGAAAGCAGGGCATCACCAGCAAGGTGTAGAATCAATTCAAACTGGCTTCCATGCATGGACACCCTTAAAGTTTGATATAAACATTTTCAGTTTTCATATTAATATCATTTGTATGGTACTGTATCTGTCAGTCAAGCACCAAGTATGGTCTCAATCTATAGCTAAAATGGCTTTTGTCCCTTATTCTTGGACTATGACCCATCAGACATATTGGCAATGGGCAAATTAGTCATATATACGTCTCAATCTATAGCTAAAATGGGTAAATAACCAGACCCTAGCTAGAGCATTCAGTTGTCCTAATGTAAGTTTGAATCCTGCCCCTATTGTGTATGCAATGCTAGATTTAAACACCCCTCATTGGGTATGCAAGGAGCGTTGAAAGCGCGGAAATTGAACACACAATAACTTTGGACCTGTTAATTATCACCAACTAAAAAGTGCTTCGATTATTTTGTTGATTCCTAAAAATGTGTAAACAATTGGAACGAGAGAAAACACATTGTTTGAAGTTGTTAGTATTTAAAATAATAAAACCTCTTGAATATTTTTACAACTCAATGTAATAGGAAACCAAAGTTAGCCGGAATTACTAAAATATCCAAACCTTATGCGTGAAATTATGAAGTTAACCCAATTGCGAAATTAAAGAAAAACTTGAAAAGTGATTTAAACGTCGCTTCTTGGCTTAAAAACAAAAAGATTTATTATCAATAACTTTTGTAAAAATTTTCGAGAGCTTTTCAGAAATGGGATCATAAGTTTTTTTCCTTACACTATAGGATGAAATGAGTTTTGATCCATGCCTCAATCAATATTGTTTCCGACGATCTTGATTTGTCATTCGATCATGTTTGATTTCACTCAAAAACTGAGTCAAAGAATTGACATTCTCAAATAATAATGCATCAAATTTAAGAGAATGTGACCGCCACAAGTAGTCGACTTGCATTAAAAACACTTCTCATCATCTTGAGTTAGTCCAACTTTATGAGTAATTTTGGTTGTTTAAATTGACATTATTATAGACAAAGGAAACCAATTAATTTGTTTGCAGAGGGGAATGGTCTCTCTCTCTCTCTCTCTCTATGAGGAATCTTTAACTAGAAAACGAATGGACATGTGCCTCATCAATATTGTAGCGTGACCACCGGTTGTTAGCCATAATTTAATGTCTCATAAATGTTGGTATCTATTTTTTTTTTCTCATATTGAATGATAACAAGGGGTAGCTTTAGAGTCGGCATCTTATATATAGAAAATTTCTAGCTCATGTAATAATGGGGATAAATTGTAAATTTCAGACGTCCTGAATTAGAATTTAAACAATTTTTTAGGGTTAGATTATAAGGGATTTATTCTTCATGAATACCCCTAGTCCTGACATAGACAGCTTACCTTTGACCAAACTGGGTAGAAGATTAGTCGATTTGTGCGTAAGTTAATCCAGACAGTCTTGACCGTTGAACCAAAAAAAAAAAATCCAATATATAAGGGGAAAAATGAGAAAATAAATCATAGTGAGACCAAATTTTTTTGTTATTGTTTACTGTGATGAATATGATTTGTGCAATCAAACTCAAAATAATTAGAATGAGTTTTTTTTTTTTTTTTGGTTGCTTGAATTAAAATTCTCTTCGAGATTAGATATACTCAACAATTTGAATTCAAAGGTAAAATTAAATGACGTGATAAAATCTAAATTCTTAATGATAACAAGGTGACACGACATTCACATCTACAATTTAATGTCTCTACATGTATTAATGCGCTTAGGTCCATCGTCCTCCATGTCGTGTCACCTTAGTGTGAAGAAAAGAAGGATAAAAAATTTACCATTTTATCTCAAGGAATTAGCTTAATTGTAGTTTGACCACTTGATAAGTGTCGGCTTCACATGCATAGGTTAAGAGCAATGCTATTGAGACCTAATTTGCTGACCTAATTCACTATAACCTTTAAATTGACTGTGGGGGTCATTAAACATTAAAATTTGGTGTTGATTCAATAGTTCTCCTGAAGTTACATTATTATGTCAGCAAATTAGGTTAAAATTTTAAATTCAAATAATATTACTTATAGGTCAAAAGTTCGAATATCTCATGAAGCGTTGTCATTGTCCATAAATTTATCCATTTGTCTGAAGAGATAGTTTTGTATAAGGTCCATCACTAGTAAGTGAGTGGGATATCATGCTATTGTAATTCACTGAGACAGTTGAGTTACTAAAAAAATAAAAAATAAAAGATCACCATTTAAGGTGTAATCATCAATAAGAGTACGTTTGGTTTGATCATTCAAATATTATTATGGACGTCTTATATTCCACCTCCATTCTTACCCCCTCCCGACATAAACTGGACCAAACAATGTTGGGTTGGACAAATTTTCTTGGACCTATTTTGGGAAATTAACTCCAAATCTCGAATAGGAGACTCATCTATATTTGGAAGTTTGATTTTTAAAATTGGAAAGTCTAATCTGAGTAGTAGAGATATTAGAAACCGATGACAGTGACTGATCACTCAACCCCTTGATTTTCATTCAGAAATTTTTTGGTCATCTTGATTTTTAATAGTAAACTTTTACGAATATCATAGACATAGGCTCTCGAACTGAACCGTATAAATATGATTTCTGGCCTCGTATGGATAAATATGTTTTGCACAAAAAATTTCAACCACATTCACAATTTACAATTATCATACCCTCGAATTCACTATTTTTTGAATGAAATAATAACAGTCTAATTAATTAAAAATGGGAATATCAGCTGGTAAATGGGGCATCATACACTTTGGGCCCTCCCTTAACCATACTTCACATCCATCTTTTTATTTTTCTTTTTTTTTTGGGTATTATGGTCCGAGAAGTTTAGTTCAATTTACGCGCACTTCGATTAATCCTTTTCTTGAACAGATCAAAGACAAATTATCCAAGCCAGAACTCAAAAATTCATGAGGGACTGGCCTCAAGGGAGTTGTTAAATTTCAAATTTAAGATGTTTAAGTTTACGATTTATTTTTGTCTCCACTAAACTATCCCTTGAGGTTCTTACTTCAAAATTATCAACAAAATTAGTTTAAAACTTTTTGAGCCAACACATGGACCACCCTATTTTCTATATTCTAACCACAAAGAAAACAAACTTTGAAAAACTTTTTAGCAGTTCTACAAACATCAGCCACAACAATCTCAAGAGAGACAAATTATATATGCTGTCATGAAAACAGTTGATGACAGTTGTAGCATCTCCTTCAGTTCAACCTCTAAGAAACCTTTGTTTGCTAAACAAAATTAACAGATTCTCTAGCCGCCAACTTGCTATAGATCAGCACATGAGCTCAACTACATAGAAAAAAAACAAGCTAGAAATTCCTGTTGCATCATGCTTCATTTAATTAAGTTATAAGATCAAAATTTTTAAGGTCTGTTCACATGTCCAAACACCTAAGGTCAATGGCCAACAATCCATTATCTTATAATTTAACCATTCTTATTCTTTTTTTTTTTTTCATTTGTTAGTGTTGAACAACTATTTACTTCAAAAGTTTAAGCGGTTAGACAGGGTATAATATAAGTATTTATCTAATACTCCGCCTCATGTGTAACCCCTTTTTGGGTGGTCCATCCATGTGATTTTTTTTTAGGGAGGAAATCTGGTGAGATTCAAACTCAGGATCTCCAGACTTTGATACCAAATTGAACAACCATTTACTCCAAAAATTTAAAAGAGAGATGTAATATAACTATTTTATCTAATAGTTAGCATTAATTTGTCATGTACTCTTTAAATATCTTCTTTAATGGATCATGTTAGTATCTGGTTCTGAGTCTCTCTCTCTCTCTTCTAGTGCTATTCAAACTCATTTAAGAACCTTCTCCTAAATACTTATTTGTGTAATGAATGTGTACAAGGCGTGTTGGTTTCAGAGCATTGAACATTGAAATGATGTAATCTCTATTCTTTAGAAGTTGCCAAAAGTTGAGACTCCATGTATATGTTGGTTGGTGCAGGAAAGGAAATAAGTTGCAGATATGGTGAGTTTTTCTATAAAATACAGAAACAATCTATGGAGGAACTACTTTCCTTGATAGTATTATTTGCTTTCCAATTCCAATGCTCAAAAATGCTCTTTTATACAATTAGAAAGTGATGGCTTCTCCATTGCACAGCTACTTTCATAGCTTCTGAAGCTTTCTGAATCCAAAGGCCAAGAGAGAGAGAGAGAGAGAGAGAGGAGATGCCAGCAGTTTGGTTTGCTTTAAAGAGGTCACTGCAGTGCAAATCAGAGCCATCTGATGTCTATGATCCAAGGGTCAATGGTAATCTAAGCAACATATTGACCAAGAAAACAGGCAGGTCTGGGTGTTCAAGGTCTATTGCAAATCTCAAAGATGTCATCCATGGAAGCAAGAGACACATGGAAATGCCACCAAGTTGTAGTCCAAGATCTATTGGGAGCAGTGAACTCCTAAACCCAATAACCCATGAAGTTGTCCTCAGCAACACAACTTGTGAGCTCAAAATAACAAGCTTTGGTGGTGCCCAAAATGGCAATGGTGGGAATGGAGGGGGTGTCTCAACCTTTGTGGGTACACTAAAACCAGGGACACCTGGCCCTGGAGGCCACCATGTGGTGCCCCTAAACCACCACCCTAGAAGCTTATCAAACCTTTCAGGAAGGACACCCAGTAGCCTTTCTAGGAGGAGAGGGTCTGGATTTGGTGCTATTCCTTCAAAGCCTAGGTCTTCTTTTGGTACAGACACTTATGGTTCTTCACCTTTGACTTGCCATAAATGTGGTGAGCAATTCACAGAATGGGAAGCTATGGAAGAACATCATCTCTCCCAACATGCTGGTAAGAAAACCCTTCATTCAAATTCTAATCCTTCTTGTTCTTTTTATTTTTTCATTTTTTAATATAGTTTGAGTTTCACTTATGTCAATTGATTTATGTGTTTTGTTCTTTTTAACTATTAGCATCCAGGCTTGGTCTTTGTTTCAATGTCTCTGCTTGACTGCTCCTCCAAGTGCCTAAATATTGTGTACACGATTTTTCGATCAACACATTAGGCCAGGGATGATACTTTGCATACAAATTGATTATGGATTTCCGTACATTTGAATCCTTTTATTACAGAGATAAAAAGGGATGGGAACTTCAAGATATTTCTGATCTGAATGGTTGTCGTTCGAGTTTCTGTGGCTTTTTCAATTGGATTTCTGAACATCCACCAAATAAATGAACCCTTTTCATCAGGGAAATAAAAGACGATGAAATCTTCAAGAAATTTCTGGTCTGAATGATATTTTTTCTAGTTTCTAAAGCTTTTAGCGGTTCAAATTCTCAGATTTATCATAGTACTCCTCCAAATGCAGCGTTTTTCGACTAAATCTTACGAGTTTTTTTTCTTCCCCCTGTAGTTACTGAACTTGCTGAAGGAGATTCTTCTGGGAAGATTGTAGAGTTAATTTTCAAAACAAGCTGGTCGAAGAACGATAACAATTGTGGGAGGATTGAGAGGATTTTGAAGGTACATAACATGCAACAAACCCTTGCTCAATTTGAAGAACATAGAGAAATAGTGAAGATCAAAGCCAGCAAACTGGCCAAGAAGCATCCTCGTTGCCTAGCCGATGGGAATGAACTATTGAGGTTCCATGGCACTACTGTTGAATGTTCCCTTGGCATGAATGGTTCCTCTAGCCTCTGCACTTCCGATAAATGCAGCGTTTGTCGAATTCTAAGGCATGGTTTCTCCACCAAGAAGGAAATCAATGGTGGAGTTGGTGTTTTTACGACGTCCACGAGTGGAAGAGCATTTGAATCTGTAGAAGTTTATGATGATTATCCCTTTCTAAGGAAGGCATTGATAGTATGCAGAGTCATTGCTGGGAGGGTACATAGACCATTGGAGAATATTCACGAAATGGCGGGTCAAGCAGGATTCGATTCATTGGCTGGCAAAGTGGGTGTCTACTCCAACATTGAAGAACTGTATCTACTCAATCCCAGAGCTCTCCTTCCTTGCTTTGTTGTAATTTGCAAACTATGAAAGACAGAGTGTCCTTAGGTTGCAACCTAAATAGGTAGTTGTGAACTATTAATTTTTTAAATTTCCACTAAAAGAAATTTAGTTCAGCTCCTGGACATTTTGTCAATGAGGGCATTATTTCATTTTTTGTTCAGGCATCTTGAATACTTGAGATTATTTAACATCAAATCGAATCATGCATTTTGTCCCGGAACTTCTCTTTTTTCATTTTCTCTTTCAATTTTTGATCTATAGGCCATGATTTTAAGCTTAATTTCGTTCGGTTCATGAAGAAAACAGAGTGTTAGCACCCGAATTAGACTCGTGTATTTGAATCACATGGAACAGACAACTCTATGAGAAAGTAGAATCATGAATTTTAAGTTGATGAGACCAGTCGAGTAGTCTTAGCTGGAGATGGGATTGCACGTTTTGATGAATTGAACGAGATTCAAGCTAGGAAAATGGTTGAATATGCCAATAGCCTTAAATGTTGAGAATAAGAATGTAGGAATTGTTGTGTTTGGTATTGATATAGCTATTAATTAAAGAAGGAGATCTTGTCAAGCGCACTAGATCTACTGTTGTTTATTTGAGGGTTTGGTATTACAGGGAGGGATAGATGAATTTGATGCTGAATTGAATTATCAGAAGATTAAACATTTGGCCATTGTTGGGTCATTCTCATAATAAAGGTTTCTGAAATGATTGAGTGTCAAATAGGCTTTGAATTTGAATATCCAGAGCTAAGGCAGATTTGTTTTGTCCAATTTATTGTCATTGCAGATTGGATCTATTTACAAAAGTGTCAGGAGAGTTTTGTATCCATTATGGTGTAGCCTGGTGAATCCTCATGGGTTTGGTGCAGCATACATTGAATTCATGATCAGGGACCTCTCTCTCTCTCTCTCTCTCTCTCTCTCGGTGGGTGTGTGTGACGAATTGTCACCTTCACTGATCCCCTCTCATTGAAGTCCCGCAGTGCTCAGAACTTGATCAACATGGGACATGTTTTAAGATTTTTTCAATGTTATGAAGAAATAACAGAAATTATAATATGTTGATTATTGTAATAATACTAGATTAAAGTAGTCAAAAACCTTGTTGATTCACGAAAATTACCAAAATCAATTGGAAGAAATGAGAATTCATCTCTACGTTTGTTCAAACAAAATAAAATGTGTGGAATCAATTTTACATATGTTTTAAATATTAAACCCTAATAGTTCTAAATTACTAGGAAACTCCCGCAAATACAAAATATTAAATAAATACCCCAAATAGTGGGAGAAAATATAAAAGTGTTTAAAAAATGGCATAAACATCGTTTTTTTTTTTGGCTTAAAAACGATGGGTTGAAAGATGTTTTTCAATCTTGCTTAGATTATCGATAACTTTTCGGAATGAGGTCTTAATAGATTTTTTGATATTATCGCCCAAAATCAATAGATTAGTGCTCGATCAATACTATTTTCAACAGTTTTGATTTGTAATGTAATCTTGTGCTAAATGTGCAACATCATAACCTTCATCAGTACCACCAAAATAACCCATAAAAAAAAAAAAAACAGGCTTGTGGTTGGATTTGAATAATATTAGCACCATATTGTGAATTGGTTCATCAGCAGTTTATTATTTCTCGTGCTTAACCATGGACTAGCATTTAATTTTGAAAAATTTAAACATCGGTCTCTTTTTAAGATTTATTTGAACTTAAATCCGCTAAAAAAAAACAGTTTATTATTTCTCGTGCTTAACCATGGACTAGCATTTAATTTTGAAAAATTTAAACGTCGGTCCCTTTTTAAGATTTATTTGAACTTAAGTCCGCTAAAAAACTTTGTTACTAAAAATTAACCACTTATAGTAGCAATACTTTATTATAAGTGAGAACTGCATTACGCCATGGCTTATTTGGCAACCCTACACATGGGCCCTTAACTTGTGTCCCGGTCTGGACCAACAGTTTTACAGGACATGACATGGTCTGGTTCGGCCCATGGGTAGCGTCTTTCGGCAATTCTGGGCATTGTCTCATGTCGAAGTGAATAGAAAAGGTGCTCTAAGTATATATACCCACTTAGTCCTGAGGTATGGTCTGAATGCTGTCATATTTGGATTGAAAGCAAGATCCAGAAGTACTACTTTGGGATGGTCGTGCCCCCCGACCAGTCTACCTAGCCCAGATATCTTAGGGGTTAGGCCAATTTTTGGGCTGTGGGTTTCACGTGGACAATGAAATTTAGCATTACATTCTTTGGGCCATGGCCTGGGCCATCTTTGTCTGCGGCCTGACTTGGAACTCTCTCTCTCTCTCTCTCATATCCCAGTTGAAATCAATTGGGATATGGCCTCGAATTGGTAAGGTGTGAATAACATAGTTGTAGTCTCTTCCAAAAACAATTTCACATTGATGTGTTTCACATATGATGGGTCGCATCGAATTTGTTTATTGTCACGTCGGAGTTGTGTCGTGTCAAAATTTATTCAACTTATATCCAATTTATTTAAAATTATATATACTCGGACTTCTATTATGCTGTGTTCATCAGATGTATAAGCAGTGTTTAGTTAATTATGCTCTTATTCAACAAAGTTTGTGTCAACTATTTATTTTGACATGTTTATCATTTTGAATCTAGTAAAACTATATACAAATTCACTACTTTTATGTGAATTTGTATTTTTTGGTTATTATCTAGAATTGTCAAAACTAGTTTTGTATAAAGCATTCATACACCCAACTATTTACATTTTCTCTGTTGAATTTTTTTTCCTTTTTGGGTAAGTACATTTTTCTCTGTTGTTATTTATCTTTTTTTATAAACTTAATTTATTAACTTAATCTAATGTTGTTATCCAATTGACAAACAAATCTCATTCAATATTGAAATCTGCTGCTGATAAAAAAAGGATAACGGTTTATATTTTCAAAATGAGTTTAAATAATATCACTCTTTGACAAAATTGTTGTTATTGACACTTGAAAAATCAGTGTTACGCCATTTATGAAGGTACCTTTGATCCAACAAGGAGTTTATAAGGTCAATTCTTGCTTTTAAAGACACGAGTTAATAAGGTCAGTGTTTTTTAGTTTTAGAGGAAAAAAAGTCTGGTCTGTTTGGATCCAGACTTATTAGGCGGCTTTTTTATTAGTTTTTTTTGGGTAAAAACAGTTTTTATTAGTACTAAGGAAAAAATGAAATATGGGCTTATGCAAGAGCTCTAAAGAAAAAGTTGTTTTTTTCAAAAATATTCCAAACGGTTCCAATAATTTTTAACTCTGACTTTTTCTTTACATTTTTCTAACTTTTGTTTCGTACCCAAAAAAATTCAACTTCAAACCCCTAAAATTGTATTGTTCTTTGTCTCATTTTTTAGAATACTTATAATAGTGATTAATCGTAACAGGTAGAAAAAAGTTAATGTTTGCAAACCATTATAGTGGACGGAATGGAATGGGTTCATTTAGTATCCCTTGATAATTGTAAATTGTAATGTATCCAAAAGAATCTATCAATTTACCCCTCAAATTCTACTTTATTAAATAAGAGCACTCTCCTTTTTAAATGGAAAGATATGATATTGAGATACTAGGCTGACTTTGTATCCCAAACCTCACATTCGTCACTAGATTGAAACACGAAAATTACAATTAGGGTATGCTAGAGTTGAATTTCCAAAAAAAATAACAAGATTTGTGAACGGAAAAAAATGACGAGATAAAATATCGTGATGTTTTGACCAGGATGGAAAATGAGAATGACGGAATGGTGGAGTGATTAACCTTACTTCTATTGTACCAAAATCTATTTTTCTAAAATTTGGAGAAAAATGGTGTATGAAAGTTAGTTATGTGGGTTAAATGTATGATATTTATTTTTATATCCTTAATATATATGTTTTTAAAATTAATACAAAATCAATTTATCTATAAAATAAAGTATTAGACCAAATTAAATAAATAATATCACAATACAATATTTAATCTACTTATAATATGTGAAACCTTGACATGCATTGCATTGCATTTAATTGAATGTATGGGTATAATGGAGAAAATGTATAATATTTTAAGAAAAATTAGAATTTCCTAAAGAAAAAAAAAATTTGGGAGGTAAGTGTAATTACTTGATATTTTTATGCGAGTCATGCATGAAATGGGGTATAAGTTTGTATAAAACATGTAAATTTCGATTAGATACGAAGTAAATATTATTGGGGGTTAAAATATATGTTTAGATTATATTATAAATAATGGGTGAGAAGTAGAAATAATAAAACATGAATTAGTATTTGATTTTAACTCCAAAAGATGGATGGATGGCGGTTGGTGAGGTTTTTCCTTTTTGGTGGGTTATTGTGTAGTTCTTTTAAGTTGTGTGTGTGTATATATATATATATATATATATAGCTAGATGTATACAAACAAAAACATATATAGAAGTTTTCTTTTGTGGGCCAACTAGAAACTACTTGGACATTACTTGGTGCATGGCAATAACACGTGTGTGTGTGTGTGTGAGCAAAGCAAGTAATGGGTTTGATGTCCGTATCTTGTGTGTGTGCTGGAGATAAGGAAGCATGTGATGGCTTAGGAAAATATTTGGATGTCTTTGAGGGTGGCCACGTTACTCTCCTTAATTATGAGGGTGCCATGCGTAAATGAGGAAAGGATGTGCCATTCTTGTAGGAAACATAAAAAAAAAAAAAAAAAAAAAAAAAAAAAAACAAAATGAATAGGAGAGCACAAAGGGCAGACTAACTTGGTGAGGAGTAACTAGAAAAAAAAGAAGAAGACACTGTGGGATGAAGTTGAGATCAAGTGGTGAAATTGGGTTGCGCTTTAATAAAATCGGCAAGCAATAGTCGGTAGGAAATTTAATATCTTGTTTTGAATCAAAGCATAATCAATATGCTAGATTAAACTTACATGGAGTATGTAAATATTAAGTATGTTTTTAATAATTATCTTGCATGAAGTTAAGAATTATATGTTTAAGAATTATAGTTAAAAAGTT